GGTGAAGTGGTTTCATGTATGATTCTATGTTGTACACAAAATTCAGCAAATGGTGCTTCATACTCACCACCTCGATCACTTCACAACACTAGAACTATCAATGAATTGGATTTTGATCCGAATCCAATTAAATTAATGGGAGATGGATTTAGGGTCTTAATTCGATAACCCGATCGAGATTCGAATCCAATAATCCGTTAACTAAATGAATCAAATATGGATATAGGTCAATCTGATCCGATAACAGCCTGATCCGATTTATTATAATAATATATTATATGTTTTATATTATTGAATAATTCATGACACAATTTTTTCCATTTTGAAAATTGTATTATACTTTACACGTAATTTTAAAACAATAAATAATATTATATAATAGTATAACATTTTTAATTGAAAATTTTGAAGAGATTTAATTTTTTTTATTAACTAAAATAAGCCCCTGTTTGTTTCCCATTAATTGCTCATTAAAATGAAAAATATGACCATTATCCATCACATCAAGTCACCATATTTGACTTTCTATCTCTTATGTGGGACCCGTAACGGCTATATTTTTCATTCTCATTTTTACATTAATGTGTACCAAACGGGGCCTAAGATAAAAAATAATAATGAATTTATTGATTAGATTTATTATAGTAATTTGTTTTATAACATAAAAAACTAACAATTAATACGTCCAAAATAATTTACTTTGTTCAAATTGATATTGTTTGTAATTAAAATCTTATTCAGGCTATGAATTTTAATGAAAATAATAAAGCAAACTAGTAAACACTTAGAATTGGCAAATGATTATGATTAGTATCCCACATTGAAAGATCACTAAATTATTTGAAGAGGAGAATCATTTAAAAAGCTAATATCTCACATTGGAATATCACTAAAATATTTCGAGAAGAGCCTCTTTTAAAAAGGAGTTAAAAGGAGTATCACTTGGATAAAAAAAAATTGATTTGGGCATTTTAATATAACAAGTGGCCCCATTAAGATAGTTCATATATTTTATACAATAAATAAATAATTAAAATCTTGTTGAGGCTGTGATTTTTAATAAAATAAATAAATAAAATTTTTATTTTTCTAATTTTTTCAATTTCGGATCGGATATCCGATAATATAGCTAATCGAATATGAAGAATTAGGGGAAGAAGGACCCACACGAAATGAATTGGAAGATCGAAAGGTTGGGGTTCGCGATGGCGGAGGAACTAGATCGGAAAAAGAGCATCTTATCTTGATTTCTCAAACCGAGAAATTCATGAATCGGGATCCTAAGAGGGTCAGCTACCCAGCTAACTTTTCTAGCAACACAATTTGAATCAGTATCGTATCGGGCCTATAAAAAGTGGAATTTGTGCTTGTGAAAATTATCGAGTAATCGGATAACATTCAAACATCCGTCGGATTATCGGATCAGATCAGATAATTTTTCTTAACGGATCGGATCGGATTTGGTCAAATTCGATCCATAGCCAATCCATTGACAACCCTACACAACACCTTAATTTTCTTATTGAGTTGATTTTCAACTTCATTCTTATAGAGAACAAATTTCTCTATAGCTTCATCCTTGTTTTTAAGCATAACAGTATATTATGCTATCGTCAACAAAAGCAATGAAATAATTGTTGCCACCTTTTGTTTGTACAAGTTTTAAATCGCATACGTCGCTGTGAATTAAATCAAGTGGTTCTATATTCCGTTCAATTGATTTGAAGGATGACCTTGTTAATTTTGTCTCAACACAAATTTCACACTTATGGTTGGAGTCAATGTGGAACGCAGGTATGTATTTCAAGTTAACTAGTCTACACAAAGTATCATAGTTAGCATGTCCTAGTCTACTCTGCCACAAGTTGGAAGACCCAAGCAAGCAAGCAGAAAAATTTGCTCTATTCATTTTTGGTTTAATAACCATTACATTCAGTTTCAACATACCATCGGAAACATAACATTTTCCGACAAACATTCCACCTTTTGACAAAATAACTTTGTTTGAATCAAATATAATGCGAAAATCATACTTATTCAAAAGCAATTTGGACACAAGGTTCTTGCGAATTTTCGGCACATACAACACATTGTTAAGAGTCAGCTCCTTTCCCGATATCGTCTTCAAAACCTTTCCTTGACCCTTGATTTCAGAAGTTGCTGAATTTCCCATAAACAACTTTTCTCTATTCTCAATTGTTTTGAACGTAGCAAATAACTTTTTATTAGAGCACACATGTCGTGTAGCATCGATGTCAATCTACCACTCTTTTGGGTTAGAACCCACCATATTCACTTCAGAAATGACTGCTGCACGATTCATTTCCGACACATCATGTGCCATGTAGTCAACCGCATTTGCTTCTTTATTATTCTTCTTTGGCAATCTGCGCTCCGAAGACTTGTCGCCTACTTTGTCACAATTGAAGCATTTTCCTTGAAATTTCTTTTTAGAAATGCCTCATTTCGATCCCAGCTTAGTACCTTTGCCACTAGATGTCCTAGACTTGTTCTTTAAAGTCTTAGAGCTTTGACCGTGCTCAACAACATTTACTTTAGCCACAATAAGATTGAACTCCTTCTTTTTTGAATTTCTGTTGTCTTTTTCAATTCGAAGTCTAACAATCAATTCTTCGACGTTCATTTCCTTTCGTTTGTGCTTAAGGTAATTCTTGAAATTTTTCCACTCGGGGGGCTATTTTTCAATAATTGCAACCACTTAGAAGGTTTCACTCAAAATCATCCCTTCCACATGAATCTCATGAAGAATCACTTGGCGTTCTTGAACTTGATTGATTACTATTTCGGAATCCGCCATCTTATAATCCAAGAATCGGCCAACAATGCATTTCTTAGCCTTGTCATCTTCACTTTTATATTTTCGATCCAATGACTCTCATAGCTCCTAACAGTTTTCAAACTACTATACATGTATAGCAAGTTTGCTAAGCTGTTTATAATGTAGTTTCAACATAGAAAATCCGAATGTTTCCAACCATCAACCGCACCGATCGCTTGAACATCTCCCTTACCCTTATTGAGTTTTGGAGCAGTTTCAGTCAAGAATCTTACAAAATTCAAGGTGATCAGATAAAATAGAATTTTCTGCTGTCACATTTTGAAATTCATGCCTCCAATTTTTCTCCATAATTAACCGAAACAGTAACAGTATGGCTAGTTGTTGGAGCCACAGTTTAACTCACAGCATGACTTGGTTTTTGAGCCACATCGCCCACAAGTTGATTTTCAGTAGCAACAGTTTGGGACACGTCCATGTTGGCCGATTCAGTTGCCATTTCTAAAAAACAAACGAAAAATTAGTTTTTAAAATTAACGATATAAGAAACCAATTTTTTTTCGAATTTTTTTTAAGTTTGTTGGACTAAATGTACTGGATGGAATGGTTGGAAATGAATACTGGATTAACACATATTGTATATGCAATTTAGATACTAAATTTACGCATACCATATATGCAACATACCGTATTTACACATACCGTATTTACAACAGCTTACCGTATATGCATATACCGGTCTTATAAATACTGTATATGCAGTGAACTTGACATATATAGCAAATTAAATTGCAATAAAATGAACAAACTAATCTAGTTGGCCAAATAAAACATATTAATTTTTAATAAACAGAACAAGTAAACTAATTAGCCGAAAACAAAAAATATTTTAACTCAAGCCTATGTGAACACAGTTTCCTTAAAACAGATTCGCCCCCTTACCGTATGTGCTTGAGGATTAAATAGGACGTCTATCCCCTAAGATACAACGGATGAATAGTAAAATTTGAGCACCTAAAATACTACACGAGCGAACACAATTTGTGTTAAACAATATCTCCAACCAACTTTTAGACAGACACGAGTCTATATGCTGTATGAAAATTTATATAGAAATTTGTAAATATGTGCGAAAACTTTATGCTGTATAGTTTTTTCCCCTTGTTTTTCTTTGTGTCGAATTGTTAGAAACCGGGTTGCTTATATAGGCTTAACCCCATGAATGTCATTAACTCGTATTGTAATGACAATGAATATAGGAGTTTCAACGGTTTTGGATTCAAATGGGCAGTTGGAGGGAAAAAATTTAGCAAAACGTAGGCTCTTCTAAGGGGCCAATTTCCACATCCGAAGCTTATTTGGGTTCGATTTCCCCTTGCGCACACACGTCAAGAGAGCATCTATGTACATGATCACACTATTCCAAAGAGCAATCCTATTTAAGGTGATAATTGTCTTCATAATTTTTCTATGTGGAATAAACCTTAAATGGCTTCGCTTCAACATAAACTCCTTTCAATTGGCACATTTTGAGCTCCAATTTCTCATTCACTTGAACATCATTTTTGACAAATAAATACAGGATTTCGATATTCTCACGGAAGAGAACACAAATCAATCTTGAACTTCCAAAATAATCAACCAGGTCCCACTCAAATTTTGTGCCAAAGTTACCCACTCAATCCATTTTTTCCAACAATATTGACAGAACATTGCTACCTTTTATCAAATCAAGAGTCAAAAAATATATAAGAGGAACAAAAGAATTCATTTTGTTTCACAGCATCTGTGTTTCTGTCCCAACACAGAATGATCATTCAAGTGCCAAGGATTACCATTTACGACAAAGCTAAGCACTAAGACTGGGAAGTCAGATCAGTTCCACTCCCCTAGGTTAAACTAAGAATATAACTGATGTAGGATGAAAGAGGAGAATTATAGTAGAAGGGAAAAGGGGAGAGAAGAGGAGGGAAAAATAGAAGAAAAAGAAGGGGAGGGGAAGAGAGAAATTGGGGAAGAAAATATCAATTATTCATTTATTCAAAAGTTCCTCAATTACATCGCATAAGACCCCTTTTTATAAGTTTCAAAAGCCCTATTCTAAGCAAGAAAATAATATAAAATTAACCATAATTATGTCTCCTAAAATAAACTTTAAAAAAGGAAACTAAATATACTAATATCAGTTATAATATTCCATCAATATAACCCTTTGCTAACGTACACAAGTACATAAAGTACACACATATGCAGACTGAGGGGGGGAGGAAAGATTCACAATCCACCTTTCTACACATTACAAACAAGAAACGGTATTTGTAATCCTTCCTTACGGCTAGTGGGGAGAAACTACTCATTCTATGTTAAGAATGCCGTTCTTTTGTTTCTCTTTTCCTCCATTTGCAGCAATAAAACATAACAAACCAAGTCTTATTCGAAACAAATTTGGGGAGGGTACATGAATTCTCCATTTGCACCAATGCTACAAGTAAAACAGTCAACTACAGATAATAATGAGGTTTCCCAATATCACAAGATATAACTATATATGTATTGAACATATGCAGAGGCCTGGCCAGCTGCTGCTGCTGATTTCATAATGATGCATGATTTTGATCCAAAAGATGGCCAACATTTTCAAAAATATTTTGCTGAAAGAAAATATATGGTGTAACAATTAAATAAAAAAGTGTGTATTTTAGTGCACCAATAAATGAGAGTACCCATTCAACTAAGAAGTATCCTAAAGGATAACTTCTTTTACACTCGTCACATTATCAAAGTTGTGTAATATTTCAACTTCGTACCTTCAAAGCTACATCATTCAAAGAATCGGTCTGAGCAGGCAACTTCAATCTGTCCTCGTACATTTTTGTTGCCAGTGCATTGGCAGTGCCGGGATTTTGTCTAGTGAGAGGATCATTCCTGACAATTCCATTAGCTGAGTCATTCAAGACATGGCCATCCCATTGCTGCTGTTGCTGTTGTTGGTGCTGCTGCTGAGCCTGCCTCTATAATACAGCTGATGCATCTGCACTTGCTGCTGCTGCTCTTGAGATTGCTGTTGTTGTTGAGGTTGCTGTTCCCAAGCTTTTTTTATTTGAAACTGCATTTTTGAAATAAGTAGAAACTACCAAATTAATCTTCGAAACACAACATTTTCTCCTCTTTTTCTCCCCAACATGTCTGGCTAAGCTTAATATAAGACAAAATTTACTTTTTTCTTTCCAGGCATGTTTGGACAACTTGCTTTTTTCTTAATTTTTGAGGAAGTAACTCTCACCTGTAAATCAAGAAGTATATTGTTTATATCCAACTTTGATCATTAAAAGAATTAATTATTTACTTATAAATGCATTCACTTATCAATTAAATATTGTTAGTTTCCAAAGGAAAGAGTATGTCAACCTAATATTACACACCTATATGATAACTTTTCGTTATCTAATATGAAAAAGATGTTTACGTGAGAGACACATTAAACAAGTGCAATGTTTTGAAAACAGCATGTTGCTTTTGGTTAATTGTTTAAAAAATTCTACATTTCTCATCATTATAAACAACCATATATAACAAAGCTTTACAACTAGTTTGCTTATTTTCCCCAGATAAATTAGAGAGATCCGTACCCACAGATTATACAAAAACAAGCCAATAGGTGAGTACAAAAGTCCTATGCATTCTATAAGTGCCATGACATAACAGCACCAAATGCAGCAAACTTCAATCATTTATAATTTTCAACAAAATGGAAACCACAAAATTTACCATACAAAAATGTAAAACAGTGCATGCAGATTTCATTTTTATAATACAAGGATTATCCATTTTATTAACTGTAAATTTCATAACCGAACAAGGTAACAAGAAGGTAAAAATAAATGCACTATCATTAGCCTAAATTTGAACCTAGATGGGAGATTCATCTGTCATTTAATAAATAGGAACTGCAGTCCACAAAATTTAGAGTTACACAGAAGAGTTATCGAACCATCTACTCTTGGAACGACAAAAAGTATAACCCTAGTCACCTTCAGTTGCAGGTTAAACTACCGGTCATTGAATTTACTCGTATCAGAAACCATTCAACTCTCTATAATGCAGAACGCCAAAGAATTAGGGACAATGAATGTTAAGAGAGCTAGGTTCTAAAATTCAAACAGACCTCGATACGAAATGCCGCCACCTCGGAGTGCTTCTCATTTGTCCTGGTAATGAAGATATCCCAAAACATCGACCACCATTCAAAGAGAAACTGCCAGGAGCATCAATAGCTGAAATATGCAAAAAAATGCGAATTAAAATTTTTACAACAACACGAATTCTTAAATAAGAAAGTGCCTTCGTCCTCCAGCTAAGCTTTCAATGTGCTTACCAACTGGGTCAGATGATGCTTTTCCTTCAGCTTGGAAAGCCTGAGCACAAGCCTTCTCTCTTTACTAAGTAATTGTGGATACAAACATCCAGCCTAAAAAGGGTAACTCCATAATAAAAGCATCAAAATGTGTCTTATCACGTAAAAAAATACACTTTAGAAAGCAAAAATAAACCAAATGTTGGGAAAACAACTTTAAAAAATAAAGCAATTGTAAAACCAATCACATTAATTCCAATATAAAGGGAGAAGATAAAATTCTAAGAACCCTAACCTAACAATCAGAAGATAACTCGATACAAAAATATAATAAATCCCAATACACATTGCCAGAAGAAAAACATATATCATACTACAAAAGAGGACAGATATTAGTGCCAATCACGAGTAATTCTTTAAAAAAAAAAAATTCTGGTTGAACAAATAAGCACACAAAAACCAAAAATGCCAAAAAGTGGATTCAAAACAATAATAGGCACGTTACAAGACCAAAACTTTAACAGAATTGAACAAATTTTCAAAATTCACAACCTAAATGTAATAGAAAACAGTAAATTACAGCTGCAAACAGCATACTAACAAAAGCACGAACATAACAAACCTGAAAATAAAGAACCATTGCAAGGAAGGAAATTAAGAAACAATTGGTCTGAGACTTTACACAGTCGAGTACCCCAGAACACAAATGCAAGATCCTAAAGATAAAATCTTTTCTTCTTTTTCCACCCCTTTGGCCTCTCAAAACATATAGATATGTTTTATTTTTTAAAAAAAATTAATTAATTAATATGCTAGTAAAAAATCCAGAAAACAGCACAGGTAAAAAAAATTGTGGTAAAACAACGGAAGCAAAAGGCAATGACATATGAAATGAAACGAACGTTTATGTATATGGTAAATATGTCACTTTTTAATTAAATAATTGAGAAAAATACTGAATAGTGATTATCTGTAGGCTCAAGAAAATGTTAAAAGGGGCCCTTTAATTTTTTTTCTTTACAGTTGGGCTCTTTTGGGCTTTAGAATTTCACTTATATACTAGAGAATGTTTTGAAAAGGACTGAGAATTTACATTTCTCTTTTTCTTTTTTTTTTCTTTTTTTTTTTTGATAACTCAGATGTTCAAGTTTTACCTGACTATTCCTGAAGAGTGGCGGCCTTCCCCCTTGCTTCGTCACCCAGGTAAATTCGGATACGAATACAACTTATACACAGTTAGATCGGACATTCGGGATGCGGTTCTCCTCCCTGTACACCTCCCTTTACGACGTGCGGGCAGAACCTCCGAAGGGATGACAAAATGCACCATAACTTTGCCTTCACATGACAACTGCTTTCCAACTTAAATGTTGCCTTTCAGCTGCCGCGGGAATTCAAGCTTCCGATACTCTGTGTGAAATCCTCCTGCTTTACCACTACACCATGCCCTTGAGGGCTGAGAATTTACATTTCTTGATCATAACACCATTGTTGGATTGAAGAAGCTACTGAAGATATAACAATGGCTTTTAAAGAATAGAAATTTACCTTTTAGCCCTCTTCAGTTGGTCAAATTTCTTTTTGAAGGCGTTCCGTAATGACAGAAATAACCTTAACTTTAGGATTTAGCCAATCTGATTTTCTGAAAATCACATTTTTATTAAATTTTAATTAAAATTGATGAAATTTATAGCCTCTGTTTGGCCCCTCCTCCACAATTGGTCCTCAACGTCTTTATTAGAAATCCATTTGTCTTTCTGCAAGTGCTTTAAACTATAGAAAAGTAGAGAATGCCTCAGATTTTTGGTTGAAAAAAAAAATCCACATCATCCTCGTGTAGTCATCAACAAAGAGAATGAAATATCTCTTATTTCCAAGAGTAAGAGTTTGCACTGGTCCACAAATATCTAAATGAACAAGCTCCAACGACATTTTTGCTCGCCATGAAATTTTAGGAAATGGAAGCTTATGCATCTTCCCATAGTACAACATTCACACACTTTGTTTGTCCTTTGAATTTTAGGAAGCCCGATCACCATTTTTTTCTCCTTGAGCAATTGAAGTCCTTTGCCATTTAAATGACCATATCGCAAATGCCAATAACAACTATCAAATAGATGTTCAATTGATAATGTTTGGTTCTAAAACATGGAATGAGTAAAAATATCATTTCAGTAGGTTTGCTCCTATTGAACCGCCTTCTAACTGTGGTACTAGCATTATAATTTATGAGTGGTTTTTGGATTCGAGCTTACTATTTGTACAATTTTGTTCACACCATCTTTTATAGAATGTTAACATGGCAAAGCATTTTTACACTGTTTAGAGCACATTCACATTACGCTAAAAAGATAAATGTCCGTGTAATTGCTATCGGTACAAATATCTTTATTCTTTTGAATTTTGGGGAATGTTCAACAGTAGGACCTTGTTCATTTTAGATGTCGAAAGTTAATTGGTCAGGTTAGAAGTGACATTTTAATCGGAATCGAACCTCTTATATCGAATTGAAGGTTTCAATCCAATTTCAAAATAATAATAAAAAATGTTAGGAATCGGAATAGAGAACCTCTCGATTCTTGGTTCATGAACGAAACCATGCGACTCTAAAATTGAACTTGTCATTTTTATAATTTATTTAATCTAATCTAGTGATTCATCCTAACAAGTAGCAAGTTTATTTAGCAAGTAACGAGGTTGCAAGGTACCAATATTAAGTAGTTTAACAATCAAATTCATTCATTAAAATAATTGAACCATATTACTTTCATTCATAGTCACTCCTCATCGCTCTTTACGCGTTGTTCGCCTCATAAATCTTTCTCGACGCGCCACATACAGCCACAACCGAAATTAGATGCTATTTGATAGCATAATTATATTAAATTAAAAAAGTGTTGAAATATGTGCTAGGTGTCATACATAATTCTACTATTTCCACTAGATATTAAGAAGATAATTTGTATTGCCACCTCATGGTTATTTTTAAAAAATCGAATGGGCAGAACTTTGGTCGAATCGGAATCGATGGTTCAGGTACGAGTTCAATTCGAATAATTACGTGGATCAAAATGATATGTAACGGGCAGTTATGAGTATTGAAATACTCGGACAAATCCACCCAATGTTGAGGCACGAATTAAGTGTTGAAAATTTTACACGCATTCAGCTTGTTATGGTGACTCGTATGCGTATGATAGGTAAAAATAAATTAAAATTTTAGGTACTATTTTAGCTTTTGAGGTTCTAGAAACACTGTGTGAAAAAAGTGTGATTTTTCTTTTGAGAGTTAAAACATGTCGTCAAGAAAAAGCTAAACGGTGAAAATCAAAGTGAAGCATGGTCAAGTGTCATTGAGGTTTGAAATGAATTTCTTATTTTGTGAGTAAAGACTTGGTTGAGGAATGTTTTTTAGAGTTGAAAATGGGTGTAGACTTGGATGCTAAGTCCTTGAGACGAGCTCTTACATGCGAGCATATATGAGTTTTTGGTGATTATTTTTTAATACATTGAGAAAGCTAATGTTATTGCAGCTAACTCTAATAAGGGCGATGTAGTATGCTGCCCAAGGGCAGAAAGGAGAAAAAGAGATTGATAGGAGGGCAAGCACATATGAAGTTACTCAAAGATAGGTGAAAAGGAATAAAAAATTCGTTGTTAGCAGGCGGATATATCGATGGATAGAACCGAGATGGGGTGCATGTTGGAATTTCACAAGGATGTTTACTTTTTTTAGATTTTTAAATTGATCAACTAGAAAAGTATAATGATTTTTTATTTATATATAAAGAGTTTTTATAGTCAAATGAATAAAGCTAAACATATTGCAATGGGCCTGGGCTAATTAATTACAAGTGAAAATTACATGGACCTAGAATTTTGGAAATTACATTTCAAATATCATAGACTAAATTTTTTATTTCGAAAGTATATATATAAATATATTTATATATATCAAAACAGGAGGGAGAATATCACATCTATCCATAAATAACTTCCTCAATACGTGAAAAACTGAAAAACCCTCCCACGTTAAACCTCCATTACACCTAGACAATCCATGATCCTCTTCTCCATAAATTGAAGAGTATAGTAAAATCGATCCTCAATTTTTGTCACATTGTGACCTGGGTGTACTTGTCACACGATTTTCATTTGTAACTACTAGATCTCGAATATGGTTTTAACAAGCAGCAATGATTCCAAAAGTTGAGCAATCTAGAAGAGAAGCATAGAAAAGAAAAAGTACGAAAGGGATTAAAGTTTCGATGCCCGAAACCAGTCATCGAACACTTTCTAAATAACGAAATACTAGTGTTCAAAGGGTATATAGATTGCTTATACGATTTAATTAGTGGAAAAATCGTATTTAACATTTGTTGGGTGTGTATGGTTTGGGTAGTCACACATTAAAAAAAATAATAATAATAAATTGATTCGAGAGATCACCGCCTACATTTGACTAAGGCGACCCCTACTTTTCCGAGCATGAAGATATGAAAATGTAGGTCATGATCTCTCGAATCAGTTTTGACACCAACAACCACCTCCGCGCTAGGACTCACCACGACTACCACCACCAAACACACCAACAATACCCAATGCACAACGTTACCAACACCACCCACATCACCTCTGCCAATACTAACACTTCCACCGCCGCCAGAAACCACCACGACTGTGACCACCGAACACAGCAAACACTACACAACCCGATCCAAAATCAAAGTCATGTTGCAGAGAGCCGCCACCACTCTTGTGAACACAACCACCAAATCTACCAACAATCCCCAAATCGCCACCACCACAACCTCCTAAAATTGGAAAGAGAAAGAAAAAACTCCCTAACCTCCTCCACAAGCCGTCAAAGCCAAAGCACAACAGCATTGTGACGCTATGTTGACGGACTGCAAACACCGCACGCTTCGCAACAACTATCAGTTGGTGTAGCTCCGTCATTGCCAACTGTTGGAGTTTGAATGAGTTGTTGGCATAGAAGAGAGAAACTGGAGAGAAAATGAGAGAAAGGAGAGAGGTATAGAGAAGAGGGAGAAGAAAAAATTAAAATGATTAAAGGTTAGGGATTGTATAGATTGATATCTGATTTATGAATAAATGAAACTTCATCTCTAAATTTTGAATTGTCATTTTTAAACCCCTAGAACTATGTAATTTCCACTTACGAATTTTCCCCTTCCTAAAATGCTGGACCATAACACGTCCATCATTCTACTAAGCCCATTCAAGTTGTGTTATGGGCTCAGACTTTCTACAGTGTAACTCACCCAATACGTGCCTTGAATTTTCGAAGGAAAATAAAAAAAGAAAAATATTCTCTCCTAAAAAGAATAACTTTAGTTTCTAGTTTTATATTTCGCCGTCTATATGTATGGCATCGCAATCTTTACAGCTTCTTTCATTTCAACCGGTTTTGTTCGATTTGACTAAACTGATGTTCATCTTGATTCTTGACTAATTTGAAGTGAAGAATAGAATTCTTAAAAATCGTATTATGATGGCTAAGAACCATCCTAATGTCAATAGATTCATAAAATGAATATTTATACAAGAAAAAAGCTGGAGATCCTAGGATAAAATCCCGGGATTCAGTCCAGGGGTCCAGGGTCGAGGTGCTGCCACCCCGACCCTGGAACGAAACCCAGAATTTTATCCCAAGTTCTAAAGCATCACTCTTTATACATAGATAAATAAATAAATAAAATTTTACAAAACCACCAATCAACCGTTCAAACTTACAGTGAGAATCCAATTTCGAGTCAAAGTACGTAAGCACATCAAGA